AGGTGGGGAGAAACAAAAGGGGAAGCTCATTAGTGCTCTGGCTTCTGAATCAGGGTCCTTCCTGGCCTGGGATGAAGGAAAATGGTTTTGGGAAAAGACGTTCACAAAGAAAGAAGGCTCACTTTCAGCTTCTCCTTCCCAACAAAACAAAACAAAACGCACCTCCTACCCCCCTCGGGAAAATAGAGAAGGCAAGCCAGCGGGGCCAAGCTTCCTGAGTCACTGCTCTTAAATAAAATGTGTATGGGAGGTAGTCGAGTTTAATCGATACGAGTGGGTGCTTTGCAGCCAGGCTGACTGAGTCAGAATCCTGGTTCCAAAATAGCTAAATGGCTGTTTGGCTGTGAAATACTCGGTCTCAGCTTTCTTATTTGTAAAATGGGCCTACTCATATTGTTGTGTGCACTGAGGTAATTCATATAAAAGTGGTAAGAACACTATAGGTGTGAAACGCAATTGGGAGCTAATATTATCTATTATTTCCCAAAGATTTTTATGATATGAACACGAGATTCTCGGTTTTGGAAGGCGACGTTGTTAGGAAAGGTAGGACCTAAACTGTACGAGGCGTGATCCATAACTGTCAGGACTAGCCTGCCTGAGTCTTTCTAGTTCTTTCCCACTGTAATGCATAGAATGAAACATATTTAATCAAGAGAGAATTTCAGAGGTCACTGGCACTTGCTTCCTTGAGGCATTTAAAAAACTCGTGGGGGAATATCCACTTATCATTGGTAGGTTTTATTGCATATGTATCATGCAGGACGTGATTTTATTTTATTTTTTTTGAGTTCAAATACCCAGAAGACATTTTAAAATGTCCACGGTTTGCAAAATGCTATAACGTTCTTAGAAGATGAACAGCTCTAGCTTTTCACATATTTATAATTTAGGAACATGTAGAATTCATCATTTCATGTCAAAATTAGCTTAAAACCAAGTATCATTGTGATCAAATTACTGTTGGAATCAGATGTGTTCTCATATAGAGAACACTCTCAGAAAAGATAAGCCTGATAGTTTATATAGCTGACCATAGGAACACTTGAAAGTGACAATAAAAATAAAATGAAATAAACCCCATCTAGTCATCAGTTAGGCTCATTGTGCCCCCTCCCCTATTTGGTAATAAGAAGCAATTTTCAGCCTTTGGAGTAAAAGAGCAAATAGATAATTAGTTACTTTGTGGCTCTTCAAAATCAGAAATTTCCACATTCATTAACTTTCCTTTTAACAACTCATGACTATGTAACCACACTATGAGCAATTCAAAATACCATAAGGATTAAAGCTGTTGACATATTCTTAAAGGGATCTAGAACACATAAAGAAATTTGGGGTGCGGACTTTCCATTTCCAGGGCTATTTAACGATAGGGGTAGCAAGAAGAAATGTGAAATCTTTGTTTATGGAATGGATGTTAAGTTTTAGACTGAGAATCCAGACTTTCTTTCCAACATTATGAGTTACTTAAACTCATAGCAGGCACTCTGCTAGCTGCCAAAATGCTCAAGACAGTACGGTTCTCTGCTTACAGCCACCTTGTGAAGACAGATGTGAGTAACGTTACCACACACTCGAAAGCAGACTGAAAACCTGCGGTGGGTGCCATGCAGGAATGATCTAGAAGTGGTAGGTAATAGGACGTTCTGACTTCTTCTGTCAGGCCAGGGAAGGCCTCCCCGAGAAAGGGCCATTTAAGCTGAGCTCTGAAGTAAAAGCAAGAGCCAAACAGATGTTGGGGTCCATGATATGCCGCAGGGCCAGGCATAAAGATGGCGTCGTGCTTAGCGCACTGGAAGAATTGAGCAGGATGGGTGAGCAGGTCTGAGGGAAAAGCTGGAGAGATGGACGTGACCAGAATCCGCAAGTCTATGTTAAGACGCTTCGGAAGGGTTTCGGGCAAGCAAGAAAGATGATAAGAATCACACGATCAAAGAGTCACTTTGGTTCCAGGGTGGAAAATGGTGTCTTTTCCGTATTTTCACAGGTAAAGATTATCCCAGTGTCCACATAGCTAAAGTCCCTTGGGAAATCATCCAAGCTCTCTCAACCAACTGGTTCACACAGACGGAGACTACAATTTGGAACACTTCTTATACATGACGGTCTCCCTGAAATAGCTATTGAATGCAGGGAGGTTTTGAAAGCTTTCTATAATCACCTGCAGTTGAACTGATGCTATGCAGAGCTCCTGAAACTTCCAGATGTGATTCTATAATGACTGCCAACCTTTACTCTGCATAAGAATCACTGGGGTGCTTCCTAAAAATGCAGATTCCTGGGATCTATCCCTAGGGACTCTATTTCAGTAAGTCTGGGTGGAGCTGAGACTCCACGTTTGAAACAAACATCTCCTGGGATACTGATGGACTCGGGCCATGGAATGGACATTAAAAGACACTATTATAGGGGCTTCTGGGGGACTCAGTCGGTTAAGCATCTGACTCTTGGTTTTGGCTCGGGTCATGATCTCACAGTTTCGTGAGTTCGAGCCCTGTGTGGGGCTCTGCTGGCAGCACGGGACCTGCTTGGGATTCTCTCTCTCCCTCCCTCTTTGCCCCTCCCCCACTTGCACTGTCTGTCTCTCTCAAAATAAATACACTTAAAAAAAAAAAACTACTACAGAGGTTCAAATCATATAAATTTACAACTAATTTTCAAAATTGAAAAGTAAATTCTGTATCAAACTTGAAACAGTCCTGGGAGCCAAATGGAAAGTCAGCTCCTTTTCAGGAGGCAGAGACAGAATCATCATTCCCAGAGAAGGGAGGTTCCATTTGCTTAGCTCTATTAGTTTGCTGGGGGCACCGGTAATGGGATTCCCTGAGTTCCCTATGACACACAAATACAACATAGAGAAGATCAGCCTAGTGATAAAACAAAAACAAAAACAAAAACAAAAGCTATGGGTTAGAAAGCCCAACTGTTGGGTTTGAATCACGGACCTGCTATTTACAGCTGCGTGATCTTGGGCAAGTCAGTTAACTGCTCAGCTTCCTTATCCATCAGACGGTCCCTACCTCAGAGGATTGTTGTCAGGGTTACCTGGGTCAATCCAAACTGTCTATAGCGGTGCCTGGCACATGGTGGCCATATACGTGTTAGGTGTTATGCTTCCGTTTCCACATAATGTTTCCTTCAAAGAGAGGAATAGTCAAGGCTATGCTCGATCAGGGGGCAAGAACCCAACATAACCCTTAACTGAGCACCGAAAATGGAGTCACGTGTTAATGTATGGGGAAATCAGCCATTTACTTTTGTTGAAATGAAAAAGCAACATCATATGGATGATCATTTTTTTGGAGCAATTAAAGTAACTTGCTGATCTAATAAACTGTGATGTATAAAGTAGAAGCCTATAGAATTCTTTTTTTTTAATTTAATTAATTTTTTAAATTTACATCCAAGTTAGTTAGCACATAGTGCAACAATGATTTCAGGAGTAGATTCCTTAATGCCCCTTACCCATTTAGCCCATCCCCCCTCCCACAATCCCTCCAGTAACCCTCTGTAGCATCCTATATAATTCTTAAAACTTTTTTTTTTCCTTTAGTGAAGGGGAGATATGAGAAATTAGATGCATAAGAGGATGACCCTTCTGTAGTTGCTCATTTGCACTGGTAATATTTAGCTGTGTGTTCGGCTTTGGAAAGTGAATATGGACTCTTGCTTCCTTCCTGCTCCAAACTGGGGTTTAAGAAACGTCTGGTTCGGGTCCTAGTTCTTCCGTCTTTTATGGGATTTGGATCTTACCCTGCTGCTCATCTGTATAATGGGCCGGGATGGTGAGGATAACTTTTCTTAAGGGCAATGGGGCTGCTTGAGCAAAGAGCACCCTAACCTGCGTGCTCTTGGAAGAGGCTGTTTTAGAAGCCTCCAGTCAGCTGTGGAAATAGAAGTTCTGACAGACAGGGGCATCCATCACTCCGGAGGCGGGAAGGGCCAGGAGGCCATGTGGACACAGCAGCAGCGCTTGTCAGAGCCCAGAAGGGCCTGGTGGAGGAAGCAGCAGGCAGTCACTTACTTGCTCATTAATATTATGTACCGCAGCTGGGGGACCCCCATTTCAAAGGGAGTTTAGAGCAGCCTCCGCAGCAGTTAATGGCTCAACAACTTTTTAAACAGCTGGGGAGGTGATCCAGAAGCATTTGGAGATGGAGGGGGTAGTCGATTTCAAATCATCATGAAATGTCTTCATGTTTAAATAATCCCCATAGCAGGAGTAGACAGAGGGTCTAGAAAAAGGCATTTTCCCCCTCCTCTTTCTCTTATGACCAAGCGTTTCCTATAAGATAAGGAAGCTTTAGCTTATACCTACAGGGGTTGACCAGAAGAAAAAGCGGCTGTTGGAGAAGGGCTAATAATCCTATGCTTCTTTCTAGGGAGTGGTTTTATGAGAAAATCCACAATTTTATAACTAGTACATTCGATATGGAAAATGGAACATGCAGAGGGTAAAACTAGTGATTTTGTTCATACGGGCTTCCCGGCCATTGCAATGCCCTCCAACCTGAAGCAGGAAGCCAACGATGGTTTCACCAAAGTGGAAGAAACTTCAAAATCACTGATAAACACAGGGCACATCAAGTGAGGCTAACTATATCCATTTCACTTGCTAACTCGCTTTTCTATATTTTTTATTTTGCTATTTCCTTATTTCTTTATGTTTAGCTAGACCTAGACATGTGGATTAGAATTGGAATATCGGATTTGAAATATTCATCAGGTCATAAGCCTTCCCTGCCCCTCCTCACCCCATCCTTGGCATCCATGTGGAGCTGGCCAACTAAAGTGGCAGTGGACATTGATTCATCTGCGGTCGAAATCTGGAATTGGACCGAGAGCCAGCAGCTTACTTTCTAAATGTAGCAGAAACTTCCAGTAAGTGAAGAAGCTGAGAGCTAGCTGTATTTCACTACGCGGACCAGGGAAGCAGACTCAGCTAGTATTCAA